ATCAATTCCTCGCTTTTTAATAAAAGTGAACCTGTGCGTAAATGACGCGTCATGACAGCCTTTTACGTTTTTAAGGACATTAATATTTGTGATTAACGCACCTTTGGTTTAAATGATAATGGTGTGAATTTATTATTTTGTATGAAAATATTTTCGGACTTTATGCTTCAATCTTGTTTATTTTGAATGTATTTGTTGTTGTAATTTATGAACCATTTATTTTGAGCCAAACATATCACAGGCAAAATGAAAATACATTTAAGAATATTTAGATATTGACTTTAAAGTGTGAAAAATATAATATTTTCCTGTATTTGCTTTTATTTGATTTATTTTTTCTGATGCTCTCAAACCCCCTGTAAATGTTACAGTAGCACATTGTCGCATAGTGTTTTTTCACAAACACACACACACAGAAGAAGCCTTTAGAAGATGAATGATTTGTGCAAACAAACTCTAAAGTGTTTAAGGCCATCACTTAGCGTCAGTGTCGCTTCCCCTTTTGCTTCTGTCCTCCAGAACCTTTTTCCACACCAGCAGCGGCCTGATAATAGACCCTAACGTTTCATTTCCTGCGGTCATTTAAACATGTTTGTAAATTACTTCTCAATGCCCCTTTGCTGATGACATCCTGTGATGATGATGATGATGGCTATCAGTGTGTCTCGATGGAGACCTCGGAGGGCCTCCATTTCCCAACCCCTTCACATACCTGACAGCTGTATGTATATGTGCTATCATCCCCACACTTGAAGGAAGCACCGCAGCCAATATGCACCTGACATTTGGAGCCCGGCGTCACAACTCCATCAGAGGAGAGTTTGATAAGAGCATTAAAAAAAGAGGAATGCATTCCACAATTTACACTTTGATGCTAGGAGATGTTCCTGATAGATTTTGTCTCTAGATTGAGGGCATGAATGAGCCGTCAACAAAGCTTTTGAAGGTGGACCACATGAAATGAAAGTGGAGGTGAAGCCATTCTTTTCTCTTTTCAATAGCCATAGTTATGGTGCACTAATAGGCTATGCTTGGTAATCACTGGCTATTGTGCCTGTTGCTTCTCTGCAGTTTATTGGGGGTACCTCTCTTTGAAAGGACATATGAGACAGGCTGGGTACTGTAATTGGTGCTGGCATCATCATTTCTGTCTGGAAAGTTTTAGGGGGCTGCAGCCGCCACTGTGTGATGTTCCCTCCATGTATGTAGTTGCAGAACGTCCACACAGGTGCACATGCATGATACACAAACGTGAAAACAAGAGGAGCATTTGTGCAGATATGCACATTCAGCACGGACTCGCATAAACAAAGCAGCTGAACAACTATGCCTCTGTTACACAAAGCCGATATTTCTATCAGAGTGAGAGGTCGTGCACCACAGCCTCAATGCCATACTTCTAGCACAGAGCATCACGCAGAGGATATTCGATTTTGGTGATGTAAAGAATTTTTTTTAGACCATTCTTCTCAGGTAATTGCAGGTTGCAGTGCATAATGTGAATGTGGAAGGAAGCCTTGATTCAGTCTCTGCAAATACACACACACACACACACACACACACACACACACACACACACACACACACACACACACACAAACTCCCTTCCTCCCCATACTTAATATGTCAGAAGGTCTGATCGCAGAGAAACCTTTTCAAGTCCTATTGATGTGTTCCTCAATTGACCATGGCGACCTAGCAACCTGGAGAGCGCTAATTGGCAGGGGCTTAACATTATTGGCTGCATAGTTTACACAGAAACGCAGGCCAAACATATAACCCCCATCATAAACAGTTCAGCGTTCGGCTAGTGCAGCAGCAAGGGAAACAATCTGTCAGTGTCAGTCATTACCAAAAGAAAAAAACAACTAAGAGCACAGTCTGGCCTAGTTTCTGAGTGGAATGTTGTGGTCGAGCAAAACGTTTCCTCGAGACCAACAGGTAAAGTTAGAAGAGAAGATTTCATCAATGCATACATGCATTTATGCTATTATAGATAAACATCATTGATAAGCAAATAGGTAATATCCAAAGTTTATTCCCACGAGTCCCGTACCACATCTCTCCAGAAACAGTCCGCAAATGTTGCCTCATTCGTAATGATTAGCAGACACGAGGTCCGCTTTTCATTTCCTTGTGCGAATGAATGCATTGAATTGTAAAGTTTCTGAGACAGTGAGATTTTAATTAGTGTATTGCCCCTGTGCTCTGCCAAGGAGACAATCTCTCTCTTCCGTACTGGGACAAACCTGAGTCTGGCTGGATTTGGTTGGCTTCCACGGAATGAGTCGCTTGCAAGTCTGAAAGTCTTTGACCCAGGAAGCAAGAAGTTCCCTGAATTCAGTCATTTTCAAATGAACAAAAAAAAGAAAAAAACAAAACAGCCTGCAAATAATCATGTTCCTACAGAGTGAGAAAAAAGGCGTTTCAAGAAGGTCATAGGACTCTGAAAGCAATTCTCACTCTAATAGATTTCCATGAAATTAAATACATGAAACCACATTTTTACTGTTGCTTTGGTTTGACGATAACATGGACTCAAGTGCACACACACACACACACACACAAACACACACACAAACACACGCACACACACACACACACACACACACACATTATATGCTATTCCAGCTATTGCAGGACTTGCTCTAATTCCATTGCCTGCTATGAATACCATTTTAGCAATATGAGGCTTTGCAGGGCCAAAGCAACCTTTCTGAAGACTATTCACAACAGTCTGTACAAGAGAGGGGGGTGGGGGGAGTTAAGGATGAAGGACCAGGTTAGGTGTGTATGTGTGTGTGAGTGTAGGGGGGGGGGGGGTAATGCCAGCATCCCTTATTAGAAAACCATGTCACATTCTCTCTCCCCTGCGCCGGCCGGACTCACTGCGCTGCCAGTAATCCCCCCCTTCCAAGTCCTTCCCCTGCGCATGTTATTCAATTCGCTCATAAGTAGTTAGAGAAACTGTTTTCAGTCGCCACTAATAACTACTGACCTCCAGTGACACAGGCCAACAATAGGTTTGTCAGGCCTGAGACGCACAACCAAAAGAAGCTGATTAGGAACTCAAGAGGTTTGAAGCAAGAATCAATGGCCGCTCTGTGCCCGGCCACGGCGCTTCCAGCATGGCACTGATGATTGTGGGACCTCCATTAGTTATGCCTCATTAAGTCCCACAAACTCCTCTTTACCAAAATTAGTTTAGCCAATTCAAAAAAAATCTATTACAGGCCGCCGCAGCCCCTACTGAGGTGTCACTGTGTTGAGACCCACGGATGGGAGAGGTTGGAGAAGGATCTCCATACCTATATGCAACATTGAGATGAAACTACCATTTTTTTTTACTTTTTTTACTTTAACACCACTAAATTCAACATTCTCACACATTTTCAGCTGTAAAATGTCAGGCTTTCTCAATGAATGTTAGTTCCATTTGGATGCTCTTTCCTTACACTTACGCAGAACTGCTATAAGCCAAAGCCTCCACAAGGAAAGCCTCTCAAATACAAACCTTACAAAATATTTTCCACTATAAGTTATGACAGTATCAACACTATTACTGTAACACATATTGTGACTTTATTTCTGTTACTCCAGGAATGCTTCTGAAAATTCTTGCATGTTTTAGTTAGCATAAAAATGAAAAGGCCTCACAGTAAAATGGGGCAGAGAAGGACGACAGCATATACATCATTGACCAACATTTATCATGAGATGAAGGACAGGCGTCTCTACTGCATGTGCCATTCAAAATAAATTCCATACGTCTGTCTGTCTGCTGCATCAACAGGGCTGCACATGATATGATCATCCTCCATCCTTGGAATGGGTTTAATCTGCCCCGAAACAACAGAAAAAGGAAATCAGACATGCATAAAAGACATTTTATTGTCACCTCCAGATAAGTAAAGAGGTGAAGTGAAAATGTTTAACACGTGGAATTTTCTATTCACAAATTTGAAAAAGACACATTTACAGGATAAAAGAGTTCATCTCCGTCCTTCACTACTCTCCTCTTTACTTTTGAACCAGCGAGCAGTTCTCTCCCATCTCACTGTTGCCACGGTAATGGCCAGCTGCCAGTCTGCGGATTACTGGTTAATAGGGCCAGGGCTGGAGAGCAGTTCAATGAAGGTACGCAACCGGTAAGATCTTTGTGTGTCGGCCAGGAGGTAGTTGTCTACTTGCATGTGTGTGTTTGCAAGTTTGTTACTTTTTCTTATTTCAATTCTGTTTATAGACACAAGTGAATCTGACTGTACAGTGATTGTATTGGGATATAGAGTCCGGTATTCATGCTATAGATAAATAACACATGAATACACAAGAGAGTCAGAAGTCCTAAAAGGGAAAAAAGTCTCGAGGATAATGCTTAAAACATGCTTCTAATTAAAAAAAAAAAACTACTCAGTGAGGGGCGATGATCCCAAAGTCTAACACACACACATAAACACACTCATTACATGTCATTTGGCACAAATTGACATGAATGGCAATAAGACAACAGAAACAGCCACAACTCAATAGCCTTGTCTGTCAAATTAAGCCCGGAAGGACATCGTTTTTTCAAATATAACATCCCGTAATCTGCCCTCCTCCAAAACACGCAGGAGTCTCAATATAACTGTCCCAGAGAGCCGTGGGGGCCAAAGAGGACCACCCACTTTCTTTTCAATTATCATCTTGCAGCAACCTGTCTCCTCTCCAGCATTCAGCAGGAGACACTGACTGCTCTCCAGAGGGAATTACAATTAGACTGCTGTTTGTCCCCCGAATAAACTTCCAGACTGTAGCCGACAATCTCGGCCTCGTAGAGCATGTGACCCCCGAGTGCAAACAGGATTACGCCCCCAAATCCCATGTTCCTTTACATGGCTCCCCTCTTCCTCTTGAGCTGCTGCTGTGGTCAGGGGGTCTCAGGGTGGAGGCAGGGAGGGGCAATGTGGGAGCTGCAGCTGAAGTCCCTTCAAATACACAAATTACTTTGTATGATAAAGTGAAATATGCAACAAAAGGGAGGATTTTATTTTGGTTTGGTTCATTCTGGAATGGGCCTGTGGGGGGGTTAAACTCATTTTTGTTAAGTTTAGTAAAAGGTTACCACTTTGGTCTAAAGCTTGGTTTTACGTAGATTAAATTATTGCGATCCAACAAATAAAAAATCAATAAATCTGTGACAAAAGGTCACAACAGTTTCATCATTTTAAGGGGATAGAAGCCAAAACAATTTGCGGAATTCCAATGATCCAAAGTTCAACACAGGTTGAGTCAACAAAGTTCATATTTTAGTTCAGCACAGGTCAAATATGACGGGTCACATGTTGCATCTAGCCCAACTCTTCAAGTTATTACCTCAGCTACAGTGGTTATGTTTTTACCCCTGTTTTGGGTGTGATATGGTCAGGAAAGAAATCATGGAGATTTTGTACAGATCAAGATTTATTTTAACTTTCTTTAACATTGCGAGAAATTGCATTTTTTTTACATTTTCTTTGATTTCTTAGAGAAGAATTCATGGATCTTGTAACAAAAATCAGGCAAATGAAGGGGATTGTTATTTTGTGTGCAAAGATCCAAAGACAAATCCAGATTTGGTTCATTTAAATGTAGTTTCATAAGGGGATTGTTGGGCCTTAGTGGAAATATACATTCTACTGAATGATATTCTAGTTTGTTGGTTGGTCTGTTTGTGAGCAAGATTACTCAAAAACAACAAAACATATTTCCAAAATATTTGGAAGAAGCCATTATATTTCTGGTGCAATTCCAGGATTTATTTTTTCATTTTCTTTAACAATATGTGATCAGTGCAGCTTGATTGAACTTAAGGGGACTGCTGGGCCTTGGAGGAGGTATGTGGTCTACATAGTTCTATAACATGACTTGTGGTAATTATGGTGGTTACATGAGATAAACTGTATTTTTCTCAAAAATGCTTGAATTTAAACAAAATGTTTATTTTGAATTCCCTAATTTGTTTCATTTTGAATGATTTGTATGAATGAAAACGTTGGATTTAGTCAATTCCAGACGTCTACATTGCTTTCAATGTTGACTAAACTCCCTCTATTATTCCAGCAGGCTAACATTAGTCCATTATTTACTTGTAACTTGTATCTTCTG